GGCTCGACAGTTTGATGGTCCACACTTGGCAGTTCTCAGAGAGACAGTACTACAGGGTAGTGCCAAGGAGGTTTCTATTGGCGAGGATGGTGTCCTACGACTCCAGGATCATCTATGTGTTCCTAATGTAGATGGATTGAGGGAGAAAATTCTAGAGAAGGCGCACAGTTCTTGATATTCCATTCATCCAAGTACTACGAAGATGTACCGTAAACTGAGGCAACACTATTGGTGGCGGCGAATGAAGAAGGACATAGTTGAGTATGTAGCTAGATGCCTAAATTGCCAGCATGTTAATCGTGAGAACCAGAGGCCAAGAGGTCTACTACAGTAGATCACTATACCCGAGTGGAAGTGGGAGCGCATTACTATGGACTTCGTAGTTGGGTTGCCGCGGACTTTGCAGAAGTTTGATGCAGTTTGGGTCATTGTAGACAGATTGACTAAGTCGGCACACTTCATTCCTGTGATGACTACCTATACTTCGGAGAGATTGGCCTAGATTTATATCCAGGAGATAGTTCGGTTGCACGGTGAGTTCAGTTGCACGGTGTGCCTGTTTTCATCATATCAGACAGAGGTCCTCAGTTTACTTCACATTTCTAGAGAGCAGTACATAGTGAATTGGGGACCCGTGTAAAGCTCAGCACAACATTTCATTCACAGATCAACGGGTAGTCGGAGCGGACAGTGCAGATATTGGAGGACATGCTCAGAGCATGTGTGAATGACTTTGGAGGGCAGTGGGATCGGTTCTTGCCCTTGGCCGAGTTTGCTTACAACAACAGTTACCAGTCCAGCATCGAGATGGCCCCGTTCGAGGCTTTATATGGTCGGCGATGTCGTTCTCCCATTGGGTATTTTGAGCCGGGCGAGGCTAGGTTGTATGGTACTGATTTGGTGAAGGATGCCTTGGAAAAGGTAAATTTGATTCAAGAGCGACTTCGCACAGCACAGTCCCAACAGAAAAGTTACACGGACCGGAAGGCGCGTGACTCATCATTCATGGTGGGCGAGAAGGTTCTCTTGAAAGTATCGCCGATGAAGGGGATCATGAGGTTTGGGAAGAAGGGCAAGTTAAGCGCAAGGTTCATAGGTCCATTTGAGGTGTTGAGGCGAGTTGGGGAGGTTGCTTATGAGCTTGCTTTGCCTCCCAGTCTATCGGGAGTTCATCCGATTTTCCACATGTCTATGCTCCGGAGGTATCATCCCGACTTGTCACATGTATTAGACTTCAGCACGATTCAGTTAGATGAGAGTCTGGGTTATGAAGAGGAGCCAGTTGCCATAGTTGATAGGCAGGATCGCCAGTTGAGATCCAAGAGGATTTCCACGGTAAAGGTCCAGTGGAGGGGCCAACCAGTAGAGTAGGCGACCTGGGAGTCCAAGGAGGACATGTGGAGCAGATATCCACACTCATTCAGCACTTCAGGTATGATTCTAAACCCGTTCGAAGACGAACGTTTGTTTAAGAGGTGGAGAATGTAACGACCCGACCGGTCGTTTTGCTTTCTAGAACCCCATTCCCCTAAATAATACTTTTCGTACATGTTTTTACTGTTTTATGACTTGCGGGGATGGTTAGTTCGGGATTTGGAAGGGTTCGGGTTGAAATCGGAACACTTGGTTCCTTAAGGTTGGGTTAAAAGGCTAAGTTTGACTTCGGTCAATATTTTGAGTAAACAACCTCGAAATCGGGATTTGGCGGTTCCAATAGGTTCGTATGATAATTTTGGACCTGGGTGTATGCTCGGTTCAGGTTTTGGATGACCCCGGAGTATTTCGGCGCTTAGTATCAAAAGTTGGTTCTTGAAGCTCTTTAAAATTTGGTTTGGAACGGGTTTTAGTGATATCGAGGTCCAAACGGAATTCCGAGATCTGGAATAGTTCCATAATGTCATTTAAGACTTGCACGCAAAATTTGGTGTCATTCCGAGATGATTTGATAGGAATCGGATGAGCAGAAGTCTTTTTTTTTATAAGTTTTGAGTTCATGAGTTAATTCATGCGTTTTGGCATCCGATTTGTGATTTTTGATGTTATTTCAGTATTCCGATCGCGCGAGCACGTTTGTATGATGTTGTTAGACAAGTGTGGGTGTTTGGTGTGGAGCCCCGAGGGCTCGAGTGAGTTTCGGACGTGCGGAAGGGATGAAACACACACCAGATTTCTGGTGTTTCTTGGCACCAGTTGCAGGTCTCGCAAATGCGAGAAATAGTTCGCAAATGTGGACTTCGCATTTGCGAGAAGAGCTTCGCAATTGCGAAGAAGCTCATCCTGGGGATTTTTTGCATTTGCGACACCTGAGCCGCATTTGCGAACTCAGTAGTGATCGCATTTACGACCCATCCGTCGCATTTGCGAACCTGGTATCGCAAATGCGACATCAGAGGCCTGTGCCCAGCTCATTTAATGCGGGACTTAGGCCATTTATTTCATTTTACTTCATCTCTTGGGCGATATTTGGAGCTTTTGGAAGGGGGTTTTCACCTAGCACTTTGAGATAAGTAATTTCTATACAACATGAGTTAAATACATAGATTATGGATAGATTAACATGTGAAAATTCGTAGAAATCATGGGTTTAGATGAAAAACTTAGGGTTTAATAAAAATAAGATTTTACCACGGAAACGATTATGAAGCTTAGTGAAAATCATATATTTATGTTCCTAAGGTTATGAGTAACAACTTTCTTAAAAAAATTTCGGAATCCGAGCGTGTGGGCCCGGGGTGAATTTTAGAAATTCTCACAATTATGGTTGGGTAATCACTTTAATAGTAGAGATATGAACTTTTGAGCATAGATTGATCGATTTATATAATGTTTGGCTAGTTCCGAGTTGTTTGACATCAAATTTGGAGGCTTGAGCGCATTCTTGAATTGGGAAGTAAGCTTTGAGATGAGTTAAGTCTCTTTCCTAACCTTGTAAGAGGGAATTTAACCCCATAGGTGAACTTAATCAATATGTACTTCTATTTGTGGGGGGCTACGTACACACGATGTGACGAGAATATGTGCGTAGCTACTATTCATGCTTATGTCCTAGTAGATTTAAGCTTACACCATGCTTTGTTGATACCGTTGCTTGTTTATGCTTACTAGTTGTTAGATTAAAGTGGAAGTTGAATTCCTTATTTTTAGAAAAGAATTGAGAAATACCACGATGAGTTGAAAAATTATATGTTCAACCGCTTCGCAAATATATTCCGCGAACGGGGTAAACTTCCACTACTCTCATGGGAGCGGGCCGTTTGTCTCGGCAGGATTTATTGATTTATTATATGGCTCAGGCCGTTCGACCCTCGGCAGTGCACAGTATATTATTATGTATATTTGGATCGGGTCGTACGTCCTCGACATAACTCGAGCGTAGTAATACCGAAATCCCTTCTTATGTTTAATAATATTTCATGGACTTGAAAGGTGATAGGAATGAAAGAGAGATATGGTTTGATTTTTACTTGAAAGAAGGATTTACTTACTATCTTCTTGTTTTGAGGGCTATTATTATTGTATATTACTTGCTTTATACATTATTATGTTTTTGGCCCTTAGTAAATATCGAAGTCGACCCCTCGTCACTACTTTTTCGAAGTTAGGCTAGATACTTACTGGGTACACGTTGTTTACGTACTCACGCTATACTTTTGCACTTGATGTGTAGGATCTGAGGCAGGTGCATCTGGATACCAGTCTGGCGCGCACGTTTGACTTCTAGCTCGAGACTACACGGTGAGCTGCCCTTCCGAGCCGTTCAGCAGCAGCCGGAGTCTCTCTTTTGGATTTATATCTCTGTCTATTTCCTTGATACAGTAGACTAGTATTCTTTTGTATATTCTGCTAGAAGCCCACATACTTGTGACACCAGGTCTTGACACACACTAGTAAACTTATGATTTTGGATTTATTATTATGACTTCGATTTGCAATCAGTTGCTTTTGTTTAATTATTTTACAGCAGTAAATTTCTAAATCTTTTATACATGCGGAAAATTATTCCTTTGCAAACATATTAAAAGTGAAAACCACTAGATTTATCAGTATTGGCTTGCCTAACAACGGTGTTGGACGCCCTCACGGCCTATGATGAAATTGGGTCATGACATATTTAAGCTCATTTTTCTCTTTAAAATAATTATAAGACCTTGGTACTATTCTTTTTGGTAATTTGATACTCAAAAGTACTTTTTAGAAAAATCGGCCAAGCACAATTTGTTTATCAAATGTTGCAAAAAATATTTCTTAAATGAATTGGCCAAACACAAACTGTTTTTTTCCAAAAGTACTTTTGGATAAAACACTTTTAAAAAAAAATACTTTTTAAAATAAGCAGTTTTTGACACATTGGCCAAACAGATTCTTAAATAGGGTCATAAGGCTATTTGTGTACTTGTTATCCTTAATTGTCGGGTGATTAACATGAATAGCTTCGTGGCTGGTCTTAGCCAAATGTCTTCAGAATTGACGGTATTAAAAAAAAGCCCCTATCCCGTACTCAGTTATTGCTCTTCAATATTTTTCTATCGGATTGGTAGAGTTTATGCTATATTTTTGTTCTACCTATCAGTTAAGCTGTTCATCAAAGTCTACCAGGTTGGTATGATTATGCTCTTCAGGTAGAGTTTATACTATATTTACTTTACCTATATGTTAAGTTGTTCATCAAAGTCTAAGCGAACTTTTTCCGTGTTATTTTAACAAAGTATTGTATGAATTTGCAACTTCAATTGCGACCAAACCACCGTAAATCTGCTCTAAATAATCTAAAATTTGAAATAAAGCTTCCAAATACCAACACAAACAATTTCTAATCACCAATTTAGTCAAATAATACCAAATTAAGAAGACACAATTGTCTTTTTCAATACTTTCTAAGAGACTAATGAAAATTTGAGCTTTTTACACTAAATTACTAAATCCGTGTTTGACAGTAATGGATGATTAAACTTCTACTTTCCGCAACCAAAATAAAATTTTAAGTTTTAAATACTGAAGAAGTATGGTGTTCAAGTAAAAGTGGGGGGACATTTTGATAAGACCGTAAAAACGGGAACATTTCGCCGAGATCAGAGTTCTGTTGGGGACATACCGTGCAATTTTTTGTAACGGCCCCATTGAAATACAGTAAGCCCATTTCTTCCGGTCCAATTGGGCTTTTCGGGTCATCTCCAGTTCCTCCTTCCATGTCCAAATTATTCTCGGAGGTTTAACCTAAAACCCAACTGAGCTGACTTTTGGCCCGCCGGAAGAGTGAAAATGGAAGAGAAAGTGAAGGTTTTAGCAATTATAGGAGCAGGAGCTGTACTGGGTTCTGCTGCTACACTCGCTATTTCCAAGCTTCTTTCCAATCCACTCCCAATAAACAACCAGTAATTACTAAACCATAGATATTGGATTAAAGAATCATGTTTAACTTCTTCAGAATTTTTATTTATCGTTTTATTAAGGGTGTATAGACAACATAGCGCGCGCACACCCACACACTACATTTTGCTCCTACTGTGTATGTTGGAAGTACTATTTATTTTTATTTTTCTTGTATTTCATCATGTCTTTGAGCCGAGGTTCTATGAGAAACAGCTCCTCTAACTTCGCAGGTAGGGTTATACGCTAACATCCCCAGACACCACTTGATTACACTGTGTTTTTATTGTTGTTGTTGTTGTTGTTGTAATTCGTCTAGTCTTTCTTTCCTAAACTAATGGGGCCAGTCAAACACCACTATATAAATTGGGACGGAGGGAGTAGTATTTATTTTTTGTTATTAATTTACTTATGTAGTACTGGCCTGAGATGAGTTTAAATGGAGTAATATGGTCAGTAAGCCTAGTTGTTGTACCAAGTCGGAGTATATTGTCAAAAAAGTAGTGGTTATAGTTGTACTTTTTCAGTTTTACAAAGAGGGAAATTTTTTGGCCACCGATGAAGTTAGAATTTTCTTGACTCTTTTCTAATTTAGAAGTTGAGAATTGAAGTTTGACGATTATAAACTTTTGTTTTGCAGAAGTATTGGAAAAGAGTATATAAGTGAGGCAGTAAATTCAAATGGTACATTTCTGTTCTCTTTGGTTTAACCTCGATACTTGTCTATTATTTCTTCGTAGGAGGGTTTGAATTTCTAGGCTTCTTTTATGTTTGCAGCATTGTAACTTGACGGGGAAGAAAAAAAAAGAAACCCGCAACTCAATTCTGTTATAATTCTAGACGTCGCTTATTCAATAGCTTACAAAGATATTTGATTATCAAAAAAAAAAAAATTGGATTACAAAGATATTTGCCAACTTTTAAATTTCTAGTAGGTTCTTCATGCATCTGCTTATATTAAGAAGAGAAAGAAAAGTTCGACATGGGCTTTAATCACATTGTCGTCTCATTAACTCGATAACTTGAAACATTCAGCTTTGTACTCTAACTTCATACGATTAGGCTTTGATGATGTTTGCTTTTTCCATTAAATTAATTTTCGATCAAAGAAGATATATTTTATTGTTAAAGGTAACTTTATTGATAACATCATGGTGTAATGTGCCCCAAAGGTCAATCATGGCCTCTGTATCTTTTGCAATTGCCATGTTACACCAAAAAAAAGAGTAAAGAATTTCATCTAAACTCAATGCTAATTAAAATATTACTTTTACTTTTTTAATTCTTACCTTTTTTTTTCCTTCCAAATGATCTACCAGACAATAGCGGGAAGTGAGTTCCATATTGTCGATTAAAGAAAATACAAAGAATGGATTTTTCGTTATCAAAACTCTTTTCACTGAATGCCTGTTTTTCAATACAACAACAATAACAACTGTGCCTCAGTCCTAAACAAGTTGGGAAATGATATTATGGATTTAATGCTTTGATGATGTTTGCTTTGTGGATTTAATGACATTTTCATCTTGTAATGATGATTTTGTTTTTCTTTTTGTGGTTTTTTTTTGTGGAAGAGGGTGGGTTGAGCCATATTTAGCTTGCTAAATCTTTTCTGTTGCTACTTGATATCACACTATCACAGAGCTTCCTCGATCCAAATATAACGGAATGACTACTCCAAACCTGTTGACTGATGAAGTAGTTTCCGAACAACTAACCAGGTAAGTCATAATATTTTCCTTTTCGTTTGAATTATATATTAAGGATGGCCAAGCCAAGTAAATGGCAGTTGCAGCAATAGAGAATAGCTTTCCAGTCGCTTCTAAGATTTGACAAGTGAAATATCATGGAAAAGACCTATAACCTTGCTGCTCAGAGGATAGGAAAAATAGCTCTATAACATACATGATATACCAAGAGAAACTTACCTTGCCATGTTTTGGCATTTTGCTCCGATCAAATAAGGGAAAGAATGGGTTTATAAATGGTGAAATATTGCAAAAAATATCCTTGCTCAGACTCAGAACTGAAAACAGAGGTCATTAGTGTTTGTTATGTTCAGGGTTCAGTCATTGGTTTTCTTTAAGTGTATGATCTGCAAAGTAGGGGAAAAGGTAGATATAGGGGTACTGAGAATTGATTGTACTTTTTCCTTTTTCATTCTTAGATTGGATTCTTGAAGATATAAGATCTAATAAAATATTCATTTCAATTGATATAAATATTTAAGAGTTAATACCCTAAAATCCCCCTAAACTATCAAGTTTTTGTCAGTTTCCTACTTAAACTATTCGGTATCCTCAAAACCCCCCTAACTATATTACCCTTCATATTAAAACCCCCTCATTGCTTTCTTAGAGGTGCGTCTAGTACACGCTCCTAATTGTTTAAAAAATGTGCCATGTAGCACTACACGTGTCTATTTAACTCAGCCTAAAACCCGCCTAAACTATCACTTTTTTGTCAGTTACCTACTTAACCTATCCGGTATTCCCAAAACCCCCCTTAACTATATTCTCCTATATATTAAAATTCCATGTTGTACTTTTAAAGGTATGTTTGTCTGACTATATTAACTTATGGTTTGTACAAAGTTTTTATATAGTTTACTCATGATGTATTACTCTCGAATGATTGATTAATTCTAGGAGTTTTGGCCAAAATAATATCTAATGTATTGTGTTAGTTTTAGGTTTAATTGTGATTGTGCTTTATGCTAGACTCCAATTGATAAGTCCTTATTTATATTCACTTTGTAGCACAGTTAAAAATAAAATAAAAAATATAGGCATATAGTGTTGTATTTCTTAAAAGTCATCTTATATTACATAAAAAGATTACACAAAATAAAATTGTTGCAAATAAAAAATCAATTGCCCGTCAACTACATTCTCTAATTCCAGATTACATAAAAAATGTTTAAAAGATTCAACTTTATTCTTTACAAGGTGTTGAGTTTAATAAGAAGATTTAAATTGGTATTCTTTCAACAATATGTGTAAGACATGAAAGAAGACTAAAACAAGAAAGAGAATAAATAATTTCAGAGGAAACAAGAGAGGGAGAATTTTTTTCCAGACGAAACCCATGTGGAGAACTGAAGAAAAAAGGTTAAAAATGAAGAAGAAGGTGAAAAACAAAGAAGAAAGGTAAAAAATAAGGAAGAATGGTGAAAAATGAGGAAGAAAGATGGATATAATTGAAATAAGGAGAATATTTATTAAAAAAATTAAATTTGAAAGGGGGTTAGGCTAATTAACCATTATTTTCTGTTAGGTGGGCCATTTTGATGGCTTTTTTCAGCTACCACGCGCTCCCAAGCGAGTATCTACACATGTTATGCCAGGTCAGTGATGAGGGGTTTTAATACGAGCGACAATATAGTTCAGGGGGGTTTTGGGGACACCTAATAGTTTAAGTAGGAAACTGTCAAAAATATGATAGTTTAAGGGGTTTTAGGGTATTAACTCAATATTTAAAGAAGTATACATAGAAGAAAATGTTTATGAACATAAGTGAGCTTGTAAGTTTATCCATGTTCAACTCGTAAAATATATGATCTCAAAGTTGAGCTTGAGATCAACTCGTGTGATCAACAAAACAAGCTGAATAATCCCAGTCTTCGACGAACAAGACAGCTCATTTGCAGCTCTACACATCCATGCAAGACTTTATTTCCGTTTGGGCCATTTGACTAATGGCAGTTAGTTATGTTGACGCTTGCATTTCTGCTCTTATTTTTGTACTCTTTTCTGCTCTCTTTAGGAATATGCAGTTCTTTGGTCTTGAAGCCCAACAGAAAATCACTGCATCATATGTTGTGGTAATCGGTCTTGGAGGAGTTGGAAGTCATGCTGCATCCATGCTTCTGAGGTCAGGGGTTGGACGGCTACTCCTTGTGGACTTCGACCAGGTATTTTCTTTACGTGCCATTTGATTCACTTATGTATTACTCTGCTGTGATCTCTTGCCAGTTACATTCCTTTGGCAGAGAAAATTCTATATATCCATGTGTTTAATTCATTCCTTATCCTGTTTGATTTTACAACATTCCGTTCCTCTTTACACCATTCCTTATTCTTTGAAGCAGGATGAAAGTCAATAAACATGAAATTTCAGATTTCAATTCATCTTTTTCCTTCATTCCTTGGCCTGAAATCTAGAGATGTGGCATATAGTTAATAAACTACAGGAACAATATTCCTAGAGACTTGGATACTATAATTACTATTATAATGAGAAGTGTAAGCCAAAAATTGTGTTCCATAATATCATACCTGATTGGTGGATCCTTGAAGTTAGACTTCTTGGTCAATTGTGCACGACTGTAGGAGGGGGGAATCGAGTGTGCCATCTGCTAATGTAGATATTCCATTTCGTTTCCATTTAACTTGATCTACAGGGATGGTATGTACATTGGCATTAATTTGGGAGGTATTTATCAAGGAAAAGTGTTCTGCAATATTGATAGTTCTAGATTGGGAAACACGATAGCTGTTAAGTAATGTGTAAGTGGGATCTAACAACAACAACAACAACATACCCAGTGTAATCCCACAGGTGGGGTCTGGGGAGGGTAGTGTGTGCCCAGACCTTACCCCTACCTGGAAAGGTAGAGAGGCTATTTCCGATAGACCCTCGGCTCAAGAAATGTAAGTGGGATCTAATTGAGTCTTTTACATAGCTGCTATGCTCCCTTAAAGATCATCATGTTGGTTTATGACATGATTTGGATGTCTGAATATATGTCCTACTTGCATTTTGCAATGCAACAAAATTACAGAGGTTTGGGATCCATGGGATATTGCATATGGTACTTAGTTACTAAAATCATTGCACTTTGTTGTATTTGCTAGCATCCACTGGATGTTTATCATTAAATTCCTTTACTTTATCCAACAGAAATAAATAAGTAAAAGAAAAGAAAAGTCTTTGGGTCCGGGAAAGATGCTCTAGTATATGAGTTTTATACAAGAAATGTTGTCTATGTTTCCAAAACTCTGATATCTGCTAATTATATTGAAGGTCACAGTCTCCTCATTAAATAGACATGCTGTTGCCACAAGAGAAGATGTTGGTACCCCAAAAGCCCTATGCCTTAAGAAGCACTTCCAATCAATTTTCCCGGAGTGCCATATAGATGCAAAAGTTATCTTATATGATTCATCGTCCGAAGAAGAAATTCTGTCTGGCCACCCTGACTTCGTCCTTGATTGTATTGATAATATCGACACAAAGGTAGGTTTGTTTATGTTTTCTTTCAATTTTTGTTGCTGCTGCTCCTTTCAGTAGCAATTTCTATCTAGGCTGAAAGTGAAGCGATTGTTAAATTACAGTTTTTCCATTACTGGCCTATTGTGATCTTTGAAAACCTGCTGGTTGAGTCGAATAATTTCTCAGTTCTAGAGTTGTATTGCGCCCTTTCCGAGGCTGCGTCAACTTTCTTCTTATTTATATATTTTTGAAACTAGTCTCTATGCACGTGCCTTGCACGTAAACCATAGGCGCGTGCAATAGTTAACATAAAATATGTGAATATACTTTTTTTCTCGTATATAATTTAGTTTTTTACAAACATTTTTAGCCTCTAAGTAAAGTAAACGATAAATCCGGAAAATTATTTTGTATAAATGCCATTAAAATATGTATCGTGCATGTAATAGTTAACATAAAATATGTGTATACTTTTTTTCTCGTATATATTTTAGTTTTTAACAAACGTTTTTAGCCTCTAAGTAAAGAAACGATAAATCCGGCAAACTATTTTGTATAAATGCCAGTAAAATATGTATGTGGGCTACAAGCTTTCAACAACCATAAATTGGAACCTTTTATTAAATAAGCTTTGTATTCTCAAACATATGAAAGTACAATCACATAATAAAAACTTAAAATTATAAAATCAAGAAAAAAACATATACTTCTTAATACAATCTAATGAATATATCAGGTAAAAGGAGTCTATTACTTGTAACAGTATAGAGGAACAAAGGAAGAGAGTGGTTGCGTCTACCGGCGAACAACGACATCTAGCTAAGTCTTCTTTTCTCTTTCTGAGAGAGGTTAGTTAGGATAAATATCATTATGTGTACCAACTTAAGGTTTTCCATTTTGTTTGAACACCAATACTGGTAAGAGCTGAATTTTTAATGTGATTAGAATAAACATAGATTCAAATATATATATATATATATATATATATATATAATTATTTTCTAGAAAATTAAATTTTTTAAATTTACAAGTAGATTACTACACATATTGTGAAACAACATAAAAACACGAGGAAAATTAGTTTGAGATAAAGGAAGTACTTGTATCATGGAGAAGTCTAGCTTGTTTATAACTATAAAATTTAAGTAAAGGTATAACTTTTGGAACATCAACTTATTGGCAGGACTTTGGTTAGTATTAGAGTTCAATGCAAATTTCTATTAGAAATATGTTCTCAATTTTACAATTATATCCAATAGTTATTTAGCGTTTGAATAAATATTTTAGCTATTGAAGGGCATAAAAGTCGATCAATATTTTAGGTGTATTTTTGTCGTTCGACATTTAGTGTAAATTATTCGTGCTTTTATAATAATATAGACTAGAATGTTCTGCAAATATTTTGTCTCCATCG